TCCCTCTTCCCCTTCAGGACACGGTTCATTAAACTCTCACAAAGCCAGGCAGCACAAAGCAGTTCCTCTGCTCAGCACAACCCACAGAGGTATTGCCCTTTTTTTGGCCAGAGGAAAGGAATTGCATCCCACTGCTTGTTCTTACCCTATCTTCTGTGTCCCCAGCACATGCATGTGTACATCCCACCCTTTCCACCCTTGGTACCAGCCAGGACAGGAGGAAACCACCCTGGCAGTGCTGCTCCTGCCCCAGGGTTTCAGACTGGACTCTTAAAATCAGCCCATGAGCCTCCATCCCTGCAAGACTGAGCTCCTCAAGCTCCCTGTGTGCCATGGGGAGGGAGCTGCATGGCAGGAGGGTTCTGTGGTGCTGAGTCTGCTCCAGGAGCTGCACACGGGGGCTGGCCAGCTGGCCTGGAGCCATTGGCACCTCTCAGCAGGGAGTCCTGGTTCCCATTTCCATGCAGCACCCAGAGTTGGGGTCAGTTTGGCTTCAGGACTGACCTACTTTGGCTTGACACATATTTCATGGAGCCAGGAACAAGTCCAGGCTCGTCTGTGGGCAAACACTAATTGCTCCACAGTGGGGGAGAGGTCTGGGAGGAAATTCAATTGGAAGGGATGTTTCCCTGTCTTTCCCTGACCTCCCCCCTATGTTTGGATTCAGATGAAGAACCTGAGCTGTAAAGAACATCTGGAGGAGCAGTGGGGCCAGGTGACTGCTCCACCTCCAGGACAGACCTCCATGACTGTCCTGCTCTTCACTGCTGACCCTGGTTTTCAAAGGAACAGTATGATCTTCCCCAAGGGAAGATGCTCTAGAGCATGGGCTGGTTTGTGCTGGGGACACAGAGTGTAAAGTGTTGTCCCAGGAAGAAATCTCCTCAGCCCACAGCACACATGGACTGAGCTCTGCATGCACCTCCTTTAAGCTCTCAGCAGTGTGGTGCACCATTCTGGTCTTCTTCTGGCCTTCAGGACCTAGGATGTCTTCATTCTGATTTCACCACAGAGCCCTTGCAGCCAAGCAGCAGTTGTCACATTCTCCAGGGGAGCTCATGAGACAGAAAACACTCACCAAGAGCTCCTGTCCATAGCACTAGGTCTCCAGAGATGAAATGCTGCTCCATCACCCTTCCTTAGGGGTTACAGTCAGGATTTTCCAAGAAGCCCAAGGGAATTTGATGGCCCTTGTTGGATTAGGTCACTAGTGATCAGGACTGGTGTGAAAGGATGAGAAACAGGACAGAAGCACAGGTTTGGTTTCCTGTACTGTGCCAGTTCTTTATGGAAACACCAGGCAGGACACAGGGGTCAGATGAGCCCATCACCAGGTGCCTTGTTTCCCAAAGAGGCAGGTACCAGACCTCAGCTTTCTCTGACAAATCCCTCCACACTCTGCACCAGTTTACCCCTGCCATGGGGTCTGGGAAGCTCTGAGGAGCTCTGCAGAGCTGTGATCAGGCTGCAGGGATGCCTCTGGTTTTCTGATGTCCCTCAAGCTTTCTGCTTGTTTTGTTGAAGAGCTGGATCAAGTCTGTCCTCTGGAGCATCTCTCCATGTGCCGTGTTCTCCAGAGGTTCTCTTTGGTCTGGAGACCAGCTCTCTGTGTCCCATCTCCCCACACTTGCTGGTGCCTTTGATCAAAATGAGCTTGTGTGAGTCTCCAGGAGGCTGCCAGGGTTGTGAAGGCAGCAACTCTGCTTTTCCCAGCTCCAGCCTCCTCTCCCAGTGGCAAGAGACAAGTCACCATGGAAACATCCACCTGGAAACGCTCTGCCTGGAGGACACGTGGTGATGGGATTCAGCACAATCAAAACCATGGGGATCTGTCCCTGGAATTTTTCCATCTGGGATTTTTCCATCAGTGCTGTGGTGAAGCACAAGCAGCAGCCCAGCTCCCTGTGGCACCATCCTCTGTCCCCACAATGGGCAGGTGACCATACCCCAACCACAGAGTGCCTGGCTGAGGAGGCTCCATAATCTCCATGTGACATCCTTGGTAGGACTCATGCCAGACACTGAGGAGCTGAGGTTCAAGTGAGGCAGAGTGCCTTGAAAACCAGTTATTAGCCAGGTACTAAAAAGAGAAGGTGAGGAAGACACTTAAGTAGAGATGAGTGTGATGTTACTGCCTTCTAGGAGCTGTATTAAGATGTAAATTATAGTTCATGTCATCGTGCAGGGACAAAAAGCTCTTGAAATACATTTCCTATTTTAAGGTAGCAACGAGCTGCTCTGAGTGCAAAACAAAAGTCCTTTTTGTAGGCTGGAATTAGCAGCTGAGTTTCTGGCTGTTGCCTCCTTTGGCACCTAAAGGGAAGAAAAAAGGCATTTGGTAAAAACTCCCACAAACAAAATGCATTAAGATGCCCAAGTCCCCTCGCCAGCTGAGCCATCAGCCCTTTCCCAGAAGATGCCACCACTTAGTGAAGTGTGTTCTTCTGTTTCAGGAGAGGTTTGTGAACTCTCTACCTCCATGCAGAGCTCATGGCAGCCTGGCTTTCCTGGTGATCTGGTGAATTCAAGCCCTCTGAGGCCTCCTGAGGCTGTTCCTCAGCCCAACACAGCCTCATTTGCTTGCACGAGTCAAAGGCTTGAGGAACTTCCAGGTCTTGCTCTCAGCTCTCTCCACTGAAACACTCTGCACCCCTGGGGTGACCAGGAGCTGAGGCACCCCAGAGAGTGGAATTCCCTGATGCACGAGGAGAACCACAGGATGCTTAAGGCCACTTGGAAAACTTTATGCCTTCACTGGCCTCACTGGGTTTCAACTGGGCCTTCAGAGGTGTGGGGGATGCTCATGTCTTATTTTTAAGACCTTTCATTTCCGTAAAGCTCTTCATGGAGTCTCACAGTTCCTTTCTGCATCCCACCTCCCTTGCGTGAAGCACAGAAGCTGCAGAGCCACGAAGCCCCACTAGATCCCAGCCAAAGATCCCTCTTCTTCTCTTGGAAGCAGCTTGGTGGTGGGTGAAGGGAAACGTGGGCTTGTGCAGCCAGTTTGCCTGCTGTGTGGGTGCTGCAGCTGAGCTGCTTCATGCCCTAGTTCTCCAGAAGAACAGAGGCTGGGTCCCCCGGGGAGACCAGGATCACTGGGGATACAGGGACAGAGCCACGGCCCCGGGTTTGAATGTCAACAAGGCTGGAGACTGTTCTGGTCTTTAACCACCTTTGTGGGGGGAAAAAAGAAAAAACAACAAAGCCATTTCAGTGGGATTTCTTGGCTCTCAGTGCCCCCACATGCCTTGGTGATTTCAGGTCCCCCGGGGGCAGCAGCAGCAGGAGCTTCCACTGGGGAGCAGCCTTGATTAGCAGGGATAATCCACCAGGAAGCTCGGTAATTAATGAGCCTGGAGCTGCCTGGGGCTGGCCTCACCTCACCCTGCTGCCAGGGAGTGGGCAGGGTAGAGGAGCAAAGGCAGGGCTGGCATCTCCCTCCCCCAGCTCCCTCCTCCCAGGCAGTGCCAGAAGCTCCCGCTGATGCTGGAGCAGTGGTGGGAGGTCCCTCTGCCTCACCAGTGTCCTTGTCCCTTGGCCAAGAGGGTGATGAGTGACAGGGGAGCCAGCCCTGTGCCCAGGGCTGTCCAGGGACATCCTGCCTGTCTCCACTGAGCAGAGGAATTTCCTTGGAGGCTCCTGGCTGGCTGGTGGTAGCAGATGGCAGTTCTGCTGGTAATACTTTGAAAGCATCTACTCGGGCAGGGAGAGGCTCACAAATTCATTATCCTGGGCAAAGCAGACAGAGATTTAAGCTACAAAGAAGATAAGAAGATTGTTTTAGCAATCCCATCTTTGCTGTCTTTCTGGTGGCATGTGCATTTCCCTGGAGAGGGGTCTCGCATGAAGGAAGGGGGCTGCTGTGCTGGGGGTTCAGGGTGGGGTTTCCTACCTGCCCATCTGCAGCCCAGCAGGCAGGGAAGGCAAAACCTTGGTCAGGACAGTCAGGATATGCTCTAACAGCACGTTCAGAGCCCACAGACTAGGCTCATCTCGCACTTCGTGTTACACCAGGGTCTGCAGCTGAGAGACCCAACATCCACATAACCCTTGCAAGAGCAGAACAACCCCCAGCACCACCTCTCTGGGTAGAAGAGGTTAAATTGAATGCAGGGGGCTGCTTTCTGTTGCATGGCAGGGGCTGCAGGTCAATGCAGAGCTTTGCATCCCCTCTGCACCTTCTGGATCCTGGCCAGAAGGACTCACCATCCCTATGGAGAAAGGAAGCCCAGGGGCTTTTCAGAAGAGGTCATTGTAGGAGCCGAGCTCTCCAGGACTGGCTGTTGCCTCTGCTCCATCCCAGCAGAGCTATTCCAGTGCACTCAGGTGTTAGGAACTGGTGCTGAATGAAATCTTCCTTCTAATGACCGGGTTTGAGGCCAAAACCAGTGTGAGCTGATCATGCTGTCCCCTGGCCTGGTCTCAGAGCCATCCATCATCTCTGCAAGGCTCCCTACACACCTCCTGGTCCAGAGGAGCAATATGGGAGCTCCCTCTGCTGCCTTGTCTGTGCTGGACACAGGGAGCTCTGGCTGCAGCCTCCTCTCCAGCACCCGGGATTGCTCCAGTTTCCCTCTGCCACAGGCTGGGAATATTGGGCTGGGACTGCTAAAAAGAGCAAGGGGTGGTTGCTCCCTAAAAATCAGGAGCTGGCTAGGAGAGTGCTTGGTTCACAGAAGCATATGTTGTCCCAAGTTGGAAGACTTGTTAATTCTTTTCTTCCTGCCAGGTGATTAAGTAGAGGTGATTAAATTATAATTAAGCAGCACATGATGTGATTGATTGCCCTGCAGGAGTTATTGCCCCCACCAGCCCCCTTGAAACCCAGGCAGGTTCCCTGCAGGAAGCTGCCATGTGCTCACCTCCCCACCCCTCTGAGCAGCAGGGCTGCAGGCAGGAGATGCTTCTCAGCCCAGGGTGGTCATTCCAGAGGGTGGCTGTGGTGCTGAGGAGCAGCTCTGCTTTCAGGAGTGTTAATGGCTGCTTATTGCAGCTTTTCCCCTCTCTCTGCAGCTGCTGATGGGAAGCTTGTCTTTATTGCCTGGAACAGAAATAGCTGCATCTTCAGGGCTGTGGAGGTTTCTCCAGTCCTAGTGGAGAACTTCCACAGCTTTCAAGCTCTTCCAGAAGCAAAAAATTAAAACTATCTGCTGTGGGCATGTGCCTCTAAAGCATAAAATCTCCCTTTGTGAGCTGCTCTGCCAGTGTCCCATGGCAGAAATCTCACTGACACAGGATGCAGATCTGTCTCCTGCAGGGATTCAGTGGGAGACACCAGCTAACCTTCCAGTCCACCCTCGTGACACTGGAGCCTGACTTCAGTGCTTTGGGGCAGAGCCAGAGCCTGCAGGTGCTGAAAGATGTTCCCCTGGGTGCAAGAAGATGTGCTGCAGTGTGCAGCCTGGGCAGAGCCTGGTGTGCTGGAGAGCCCTGCCCCAAGGGCTGCAGGATTTCTCTCCTCTCACCAGCTCACTGCTCCCTCCCAGCTCATCCCCGGGGGAGACAAAGAGGTGATTCTGCAGCCTGGTCTGTCTCAGCTGGTGGGCAGATCAGCATCTCAAACAGGTCTTCAGCCAGAGCTGGAGCTGGGGGAGGTGGTTGCATTCATTATTCTTGGAAATAACCAAAATACCAGGCTCACTCCTCCCCCCAGGCTGAGCCCAGGGCAGGGGATGGGTGGGATGGGTAGGGCAGCCCCCACTCCCTGGAGTGAGAGAGCCCCACTGCCTCTGGAGGCAGGTCCTGGCTTTGCGTGTAGTTCATCAGCTGTCTTAACTAAAGACAGAGCAAGGAGCTGCCCTACTGCTTTGAGTAATTAGGTGGGCCGATCATTTTGAGCTGAACAAGGCTTGTTGTTCCAGGGGTCTGGAATTTGGTGCAAGAGCCTTGGCCAGTTCTGCCTTTTGTCTCTCCCCGTGAGTCCCTGTCTCCCTTGGTGTGGCCCTGTCCCTGTTCCCACCGAAGCCCCTTTCTCCCTGTCTCCCAAAACCCAGCAGTTCCAAGTGATGCTGCTCTCCTTGTCCCATGGCAGGTGGTGCGAGACCAGATCTCCCACTGCACGGTCAAGCTGCGCCAGACCACGGGCCTGATGGAATATTGCCTGGAGGTCATCAAGGAGAACGACCCCAGCGGGTTCCTGCAGGTCAGTGTGGAGCTGCTCATGTCCAGGCTGCAAGGGGAAAGGGCCCAGGGGTAGTAACACAGTAGAGTCAGGGGAGTTGCACTAAGGATGATGTCCCCAGCAGCTTTTCCAGACATAAATCAAGGGACAAGCTCTCATTGCCTCCAGGTTCACAGCAGGAACAGAAGCAGAAGCAGAAGCAGGCCAGGGACATTTTACCCCACACTGGACACTTACAACTCAGCTTGACATGGTGCTGAGATGTTGCTGCCTAGAAGGGTTGGACTGGATGATCCTTGAGGTCCCTTCCAACCTGGCAGTCTCTGATTCTATGACTTCTTGCAGCAGACAGTGTTGTATCTCTGGAGCAGTGATCATAACATGCTGTCTCTTGCTTCTCCAACACTGGAGAGCTGCATCCCACCATTCCTTCCTGGGCCACTCCCTCTGGTTCCTACACTCTGCCTTTAAAATAGTCTCCAGAGCTCCTGTGGTCCCTCTGCCAACCTGAGCCTGTAGCAAAGGGCAGTAGTGGAAAGCACGTGTGATGTCCCAGTCAGGGGCAGAAGTGGCAGCCTGGGAGGGACAGGGAAAGAGGAGAGCAGGGTTGGGACAAGGCTAAGCTGAGTCTGTTCCTTGCCACCAGATCTCAGATGCTCTCATCAGGAGAGTGCACTTAACTGAGGACCAGTGGGGAAAGGGGACACTCACACCCCGGATGACCACGGACTTCGACCTGAACCTTGACAATGCTCCTCTGCTGCAGTCCATCCATCAGCTCGACTTCGTGCAGATGAAAGGTAAGAACATTTCCAGCACCTTTCAGAAGCCCATCTCTGCTCATGCTGAGGGCTTCCATCCAGCTCATCACAGGGAAATGGGCAGGAGAGGAGGGTTTCTCATAGTGGCCTTCCAGTGCCTGAAGGGGCCAGGAAAGCTGGAGAGGGACTTTTTACTAGGACATGTAGTAAGAGGACAAGGGGTGATGGATTAAAATTGGAAGAGGGGGGATTTAGCTTGGACATTGGGAAGGAATTCTTTGCTCTGAGGGTGGTGAGAGCCTGGCCCAGGTTGCCCAGGGAAGCTGTGGCTGCCCCATCCCTGGCAGTGTTGAAGGGCAGGTTGGATGGGGCTTGGAGCAACCTGGGCTGGTGGGAGGTGTCCCTGCCTATGGCAGGGAAATGGAAGTAGATAGTCTTTAGGGTCTCTCCCAACCCACACCATTCTGTGATTCTGTGAGGCAATACTCTTGGATTAATCCCAGAAAAAGTCTTTTACACCTACTACAAATCACCTCCTCCCTGCCCCGGGTGCCCCGGGGGCTCCCCCCACTCCTCCCCGTGCTGCTCTCAGCCAGGGTTGCACTAATTGGGGTTTAGTTTCCTCCCCAGTGCCGGCCCCCCCGATCCTGCAGCTCGAGGAGTGTTGTACCCACAACAACAGTGCCACCTTGTCCTGGAAGCAGCCCCCCTTGTCCACGGTGCAGGTGGAAGGCTACATCCTGGAGCTGGATGATGGCAACGGCGGCCAGTTCAGGGTAGGTGATGGCAGCAAGGGGACAGTCCTGGCACCAAGGTGTTGCTCCTGGCTCCAGTCTTGCCCCACCATGGAACAGCCAAAGAGTTCTAGGCCAGGTTGGATGGGGCTTGGAGCAACCTGGGCTGGTGGGAGGTGTCCCTGCCCATGCAGAGGGGTTGGAACTGCATGATCTGGAAGGTCCCTTCCAACTCAAACTGTTCTGTGATTCCCCAGACTTTCTGCAAGTTCTTTCCTTCCCTGGAAACACAAGACTGGAAGCTGATGGTGCAGAGAAGCTGTGGGCTCTTTTGGGGTGCAAGGTTCTTTGAGGGGGTGGGAATACCCTTCCAGTGACCAATGACTTGCAAATGCAAAGGGAGCATTTGGAGCTCCATCTTCTAAGGTTGCTACACATTTCATGCAAAGTCTGCTGACTGTTGTGAAGGACTCCTGGTTTGCCAGCTGCCAGCAAGCAGAGGTGTTTACAGCCTGAGGGCTTTTAAATTGATGTAATTAGACAATTAAATTAGGATTTTTCTCTAATCTGACACGCTGATAATTATCCTGGTGTGTTCACATCCACCGAGGGCAGGTGCAGGGACCAGCCCATCATGTGTCCTGAATTCATCCACAAGAACCCCACAGGCAGAGTTAAGGTGGAAGAGAGGTGATGTGGGTGGGATCTGGAGAGAGAAAGGAGCTGGAGGCTGGGTGAGGAGATACCAAGGGAATTTGTCAGTTGAGGGCAATTCCTCCATCTTCTCCTCCCATCAGCAGTGGGAAAGGGCTTGGATGTGGGTGGGATTCCTGCCACCGGGGGTACAGAGGGGTGCTTCAGCCGATTGGGCATGGGCGG